GGTGAACAAAACCCAGACACAAAGCAAATAACGCATGACTGTTGGGACCCTAAAAATATATATACATATAATAACAACAATTAACATGGGTAATTTCAAAGATTGCTTACACTGGAAAAATTTCCATTCAGAGTTTGTAGATCCTTCAAGGTAGCGTAGAATGAGAATTCACCAAAATTTTTCTCAAGCCATTCAGTGCTGCTTATAATGTTAGAAAGACATGCTGGATCTGGATTGAATACAGAACATTGCGGGAATTAAGCACTCCTGAGCACCCCTGAAATGTGAACTTTCGTATATTTACAGGTTTTATTGTAACCACTTTAATTCTGTAACAGAATTGAATGATTTAAACTTATAACATTTTTTACTGCACCTGAAAGTTGTCTAGACAAGAATGGCTGAATGAATTGGGTGTAGATGGAGGACTTTGATGTTCCATTGATCAGATTCACCTGCTGACTGAGTGTTTTGACTCTATTTACAAAAAAATGTTTAAAGATTAGCCACAATTTCAATTTGCTTCTCTGTAATAACAATGTATTAAAAATTTTGACTCTTACATTGTCTGGTAGCTGACACATGAAAAGTTTATCTTGCTCATGTTGGATATAAACTCTGTGGTAATGAAAGGGAGGACTGGAATAAGCCTGACACAGATCCATGATTGAACAAACTTCATGTTTTGCACATTCTCTGTAGTCAGTGTTTGTAAAGCACCAAAACTGTCAGCAATGTCCTCAATTGAAGAAACTCCCTAAAATAAAAATAAGCTTCATTATGCACATCAATTATATGATAATTGACTAACAGCGTCCAGGCTGAAGAGACAGTGACAAATTGCACCCTGCATGTAGTTCTCAGCGTTCATTGATATTGAAAGAAATAAATTATGAACATTTGATGATTCATCTGATTGCAATCATTAAGGCAAATATTTCAGAAAATCAGAAAGTACTAAATAAAAATAAAATAAGCAAAAAGCAAAGCAGACAGTTTATGTTTTCCAGCAAAGGTTAAATAGTCTTAAATGTGTTTTTCTTACAAGGTTAACCACAACATTTAGTGTTGATGCAATGATCTTTCCAAGCTCATTTTGGAGCATGTGAAGTTTTTCTTGAGGAAAACTTGCTGGGCTGTTTGATATACATTGTAGATGGTGTGTAGTGTCATCCACTGCATTTAAGATCTAAATATGAAAACACAAAAATGTGCCACAATTGAATGATGAATTTTAACAAAGAGCTTGTATTAGAATGACAACTACATGGGGACATTTAAGAATCTTTCTTCCTCTAGCTACTGCTGCCATTCATTTTAGCCACCATAATCAAGTGAGCAATGTTTTTTTTTTTACACAATGAGTCTGACAAAAGAAGGTATAATCCATACAGACATCTGATTGAACCATTGAGACAGAGAGATATAAACTGAGACAGGATTTGGCAGCATCTCTATGATGCTTGGAGAAATCAACCTACAAATCTACAGTGCTGTGAAATGTTTTAGGCACTTATCAGTTAACTTCCATTAACTAAATCAAATTATTTGGTAGGACCACCCACGACTTTATCCTAGCTATGCGTGTGCACTGTTTTAAGAGTTGCATACAAAAATCTCACTGGATTACTATAATTAATGGCAAAGGAAATTTTTGACAATGTACACTGCTCTTTGAAAACTTGGTCAGTATTTTTATTAGTTTATTTCATTTTTAAAAGAAATTAATGCCTTTAACAAGGATGCATTAAATCGATCAAAAGTGACAGTACAGACATTTATAATGTTTAAAATAAATTCTGATCTTTTGAACTTTCTGTTCATCTGTGAATCCTGAAAAATAAAATGTATCACAGTTTCCACAGAAATATTGGGCAGCACAACTGTTTTCAACATTGATAATAATCAGAAATGTTTCTTGAACAGCAAATTACATTTGACTATATTCATATACAAAACTTATATTTTAAATTGTAATAATATTTCACAATATTACTGTTTTTTTACAGTATTTTTGAACAAACACACGCAGCCTTGATGAGCAGAACAATTACAAAAATAATTACGTTAGCATTCAGCAGCTTTACTCTCAGCACAATAGGTATTTACACATCTGAGCCCTCCAATGTCCACCATATTTATACTACATTCTACATTCTAATGCCATAAACTCTAAACATATGTAGTTCCAGCATGTGTCACCCGAACTGTAAAATTCAAGTTTGCTATTTGCAGATGCTTCACTCTTTAATCCATATATTTGTATATTAATTCACATATAAAATGTAGTGTTGTTCTTAAAAAGCATGCATTTTATTCTTACTGCCTGATTCTAAGTAACTGTGTGTTTGTGCCTGCTGTGTCAGTTTATGAATAATATCACAACAGTGAATTGTTTTATAAGTAGAGAGGGAGCTGTAGAAAGAAAGCAGAGAGAAATCACTCACCAGAGAGCTGAAGTTTTTCAGATTATTCAGATCACAGCTGGCCAGAGTTTGATTGCTGGTTCTTCTGTATCAGTGGGAATAAAATAGATTTGTTTGAAATCTATAAGCTAACTATTATGACACTATGCACTAATGTTAATTAAGTACTCACTCAGTAGTGAGACTGCATGATCCTGTTTCTAGGAAAAACCATAGATATTTATTCATTAGTTTGCAGGTACTCAGATAAGATTATTGAGAATGTTTTTCTAGAACATATTCTTGAACTTGAACAGTGTTCATTCTGGTTTCCGACTGCATCACAGCACAGAGATGGCACATCTCAGTGCAGCCTTTGACACTGTCAGTCACAACTCCTAGACAGGCCAGAAAACTGGGTACCTGTAGGGCTTTCTGAGACGGCTCGCAAGTGGTTCAGGTCATAGTAGGAAAAAAAGGGGCTACTACGTGACCATAGTTTGAGTGGGGATCAATGACATTCGGAGTCCCACAAGGCTCATTTGTACTGCTCGTACTCAATCTGTATGGTTCCACTGGGCCAAATAATGAAAAAGGACTAAAACTGCTTACCACAGCTGAGCAGATGACACTCAGATCTACCTAACCCTAAAGCTTACTGACCACAGCCCCACTGACTCCCTGTGCCAGTGCACTGATAAAATGAACACTCGGACATGCCGAAACAGATTGGACTAATGCCATGGTCTCCTCACTGGCCTTCCCACAAAGGCCATTACACAGCTGCAACTCTTACACAAGTGGTTTGTACTTGTTTATAAATCACTCAGTGAATATATCTATATATATATATATATATACACACACACACACACACACACACACAGACACAGACACACACACACACACACACCAGTTTAGCTGTGCATTGACTTACTGAATATAATGTATAATTTTACTTTTCAAATCTTTTTTTTAATTATTATATTTCTTATTTATTTTTAAATGTATTTCATGTATTTTATATATTTCATGTATGCCCATATCCTAACAGAGTCTTTAAGCCAGGGGTTCTCAAACCTCTCCATGAAGGACCCCCAGCACTGCATGTTTTGTATGTGTCTCCCTCTATCTGACACACCCACTTCAGGTCATGCAGTCTCCACTAATGAGTTGATGAGTTGAATCAGGTGTGATAGATGAGGGAGACATACACAGTGTGCAGGGCTGGGGGTACTCCAGGACAGGTTTGAGAACCACTGCTTTAAGCAAATAGAGGGTAAATCGCTTCTGTTCTAAAGCAACACTGTCCAACAGCGACACAGCGTTCCTCTTCCTCTACTTGTTCTACTCAGTCTTTTCGGTTTCGCGGTCCAGTTGTAAAATGCGTTAGCGCTTCAAGCCGGACTAGTGTACAGCGCAAAGTCTATAAACGCGGAAGGCTGCGGCGAACAGAGTGGGGCGGGGCTACATGTATCGCTCCGCCCACTAACATACCATTAATATGCATTTACATGATAGGGAATGAGATTGTACTTTGTCAACTGTAAAAGCTGAGCTCATTATGACACACAGGAAAAATATAATCGCCTTCATCTTGCAATAGCGAGTGCATTGAATTAAATTATTTAGGAAATGTTTATTCATCAGTGTTAAATGTAATAGATCATGTAGACTACCTGAGTTAAAAAAAAAAAGTAAATAAATAAAACGGACACCACGCTGTTATTCTGAAGTTCTAACCGAACATTTGATGACTCTTCTGAAAAGTAAAGTATGTAGTTTGCATGTTTTTGCTTATGACACCCAGGCCTAATGTGTCTAACTCTATCCACTAGGGGTGCCACCTTATTATAACTGGTCTCCTCGACAGACTGCAAATGCTTTTGTATATTTGTGCTGTACTATATCAGATCTCCTTCATACATACTTCATACATTGCTGTTTACTGTCATGCATGCACAAGATGTTGCATTGATGTTTAATAATCTCACCATTTGAATGTGTTGCATTGCACTGAAAGAAAAGCAAGTAATATAAAAATTAGTATTTTACATTATGATACTAAATGCCTTTTTGAACAAGAAATAATTTTTACAGATGGATTTTACAGATTTGTAAGTATACACTTTTGATTTTGTGAAGACAAACATTGAGCAAAATATGAAAATCATTTCCTTTTTGGGTTTCTCCTGACTCACCTGCGCATTACCCAGAGATGCAGATGTTGCTGTGGAAGGGCGAGAAGAAAATATAATCAGTGTAATCGTCTTATGAGCTACAGGAAGCACATTCCTTTTTAAAAACATTAATTCTGTAATAAATATATCCAGGTGGCTTACTAAGACATACTATTTTATTATTACGATTATTAGTAAAATCGTATATTTGTTCCGTGCTCTGTGTGTGTTTGTGTGGAATGTGAATGTTTGTGCACACGTGTAACTCACTGATCCAGACATTAGTTCGAGCTGTGGGGTTTGTATGGAATAGAGAGGCTGGTCCTTCAGCTGTTACAGCTACTGTCTTTGTTGGATTTTAAGGTTTAGTGATATACGTATGTGGTTGCACGTTCAGTAGTTGTTAGTTCTGCAGATTTTGTAGCAACAGTAGGTGTTGTTTCTTGAGTTACAGAAACAGTTATTGGCCATGCTTCAGTTGCGGTAGGCATCATTGTTTGTGTACTTGCAGTAGTTGTTGATGCTTCTAAGGTTTTAGGTAGAGCAGTACTAAAATCTCTAGTTGCTGTAGAAAATAAAGCTGTTAAAATATCCGGTTTCGAACTAGTCATAGTTTGTGCTCCCTTCGCTGACAATGTTGTACCGAAGACTGTTGACTGTTGTACGGTGCTCAGTACGTGAGGTGTAGTAGGATGAAAGCTTGTTTGTGGTGAAAGTATTTTACTAGAAGTAGTTGTGGTTGTTTGTGCAGCAGATGTAGTAAACTTTGTTTTAGAAGATATAGTAAATACATTTGTTAGCATTGCAGGTGTTGTATCACTAGTAGTTTGTGGAAATCGTGTTGCGTTCGAGAGTATTTGGTACTACAGGTGTGATAAGAACAGTAATTGTTGATCTTGCAGATGTAGTAAGAAAAGTAGTTGTTGGTGTTGCAAGCGGTGCTCTAGATGTGAATGCCTCAGAAATATGATCAGGAGTTGTAGTTTCTGCGTTTGTTGTAAAGACTGCAGAGCTTGGAGGGCGTGAAGGTGTTGAATCACTTGGTATTTTGTTTGATTCAGAGATTTCTGGCAATGTATTGGTTGGTTCCGTAGATGTTTTAGTGATAGCAGTTGATTCTTCTTGTGTCGCTCCAACAGTTGTTTGTTCTGAAGATGTTGTGGAGATACTTGCTGTTGTTTCCAAAGGTGTTGTAAGAATGGCAGATGTTGAATTCACAGTAAATATTGGTCTGTCAGTTGTAGCAGGGAAGGTAATTGTTGGTGTTGCACTTTCAGTAATTGTTGATGCACCAGTTTTTCTCATGACACTATCTGCTGTTTTTGCTTCAGTTTCCACACTGGCAGTAGATTGAGGTAATGCAGATGTTGTCTGTGTTTCAGCTGTAGTACGGACATTACTTGTTGTTTCAGAAGTTTCAGACAACATTCTGGTTGGTTCGTCAGATGTTTTAGTGATAGAGGTCAATGTTTCTGATGTTATATCAGTGGTACTTGTGTTGCACCAACAGTTGTTTTTTCTGAAGGTGTAGTGGAGGTACTTGCTTTGGTTTCTAAAAGTGATGTAGGAATGGAAGGTGTTGAAGTCATCTGTAATTTCAGATTTAGGCATAACAGTGGTCATTTGATCTGTTGCTGTCTGAGATACAGCACTCAGAGATTTGGGTGTAGTTGTTTTTGCGACTGTTACTGTGGAGAAATTTGAAGGCATCTGAGCATATAATGATATTTGCCTTGATTGAATCATTAACATGTCCTTGAAACTCTTCTTCGTTTTCTTCTTTCTTTTTCCTTTTCTTTTTTTAATTGTCAATGTAATTCACATTCTAAACTGCTTTAAGACTGAATAAGAAAACGCAGGGTCAGCACCCAGTGTTTATTAAGAAATGAGAGGAACATGCAAAGCAGCAACAGATGAAGAACTTCCCATTTGTTTGCTTTTCCCATAAAACACAGTTATGTGTCTGTACAAGATTAAGGAATGCTCTTTCAGGCTATGTGCATGACAATTTGCACTCTTTTCTACTGGTGACAACAGAACAAAGGCCAAGAGAATGCATGCAGAGATATGGAGTAATGATGAATGACGTCTGTGAAATCAGTAGCCATGCATGCATAATTCATCTTTATAAGGAGGTGAGGATCCAGATGAGCAGACTACTATCTTCAGTTGGAGTGACTGAAGTGCAGCCGAGATGAACAACAGACTTTCCAAGGATATTACCGTGTTGATAACATTGTTTGTTAAGTTGCGTTGTCGTGTGTTAAGTCTACTTAGCATGTTTCTTTGATAAGAATGTGCATGTTGATGTGTTCTGGTATAGTGTACATGGTTTATGAGCACACAAATGTGTATAATGACATGGCTTAGCAGACATCGTAAACATGGTTTATGAGGTTTACACTTCCTGTGTCCCCATAAACCAAAAGACTTAAAATCATACTAAACAGTTTTTTTGAAATTCAAAAAATGCCTGTAGTTTTGTGTGAGGGGTAGGTTTAGATGTAGGGTTAGTATAAGGGGATAGAAAATACAATTTGTACAGTATAAAAACCATCACACCTATGGAGAGTCCCCATAAACCACAAATGCAAGAATGTATGTGTGTGTGTCTCACCCATACAGAGGGCAGACAGCAGTATTAGTCTGCTGAGCATGATGTCTTGTCTCATCTCGTTCTCAGTTCATCATTTATGCTGCAAGGGTGAAAACAGATTTATTATTTAACATACACTGTAAAAATGTGTGAATTTACAATATGTTTCAGTTTGGTGTGCTTTCACATTCATTATTACAGTATTTCAATGGATAACATTGCTTATAAAATAATATATAATTTCTGTGCTGTGATGCAGAGGTTAGCATATCGTGCTAGAGGTCAAAAGAAATTCAGGATAAACATAAACTGAACATCATTTTAAGATTAGTTCGTATTTAGGGCTTTTGACACTGTGCTTAACCCTGGTTCCCTTTCAGTCGGTCACTTTCGACGTCACATCGGTGACCGACGAATTGGGAATCTCACCAGAGAGACCAATCCACTTCGAGTATAACTAAATGAGCCAATGCACATTGGCATGCAAAATTAGCATCTGACTGGCACGCCTCGCAGTGCGAGTATAAGAGGCAGCAGGTGCATCACATTCATTCATCTTTTCGCTTCGGAGCCGAGCTGTTCACAAGAATGCTCATCCATCCTGAAGAATCAAGTGTTGCTGAGCTGAGAGAAAACCCTTCAAGTGGTCGAAAACAAAAAGTGGATCCCATTGCAAGAAACAAAAACAAAAAAATCCACGTCCAGGCACTCACTTGTAAAACGCGTTGGTGTTTTTTAACATGTAGCCCTGTCTTACAATAAAGGCTTTTTATATTTTGCCTGCTATGTGAGTGCCTGGATGTGGATTTGTTTTTGTTTGTTTCTTGCAATGGGATCCCCTTTTTGTTTTTGACATTTTGTTCCCTCTCTGGAGCACCCATAGTCTTGCTCGGGAGTACTTGATGCGCCCCTGGTCAAGACTTTTTTATTTTATTATTAACCCTTCAAGTGGTTTTGGTGTGACGGCACTGCAGCAGTGATCCATGACAGAAGGAAGAGCATTCTTCTCTGTCTTCTGTCTGAGACAGCCCACACAGCAATTTTTCACTGCGGTGTGTGTGGTGCTGTACCTACACATCGCACTTTTTCATTGCGAGTGTGTGCTGCTTTTTTCCCCCTGTGTGCTTTAGCACCACCAAAAAAAAAAAAGTTCCCACTAAAAGTGCAACACGGGTGTATGATCGCGTCTTTATTAAGATGGCATTTCACCCATGCGTTTCTGGATGTGGTCGTTTCCTGGTGCCGGCTGATGATCCCGATCACTGTCTCACGTGTCTGGGCATCTCGCACGTTGAGGCGGAGTTCATGGATGACTCGTGTTCTCACTGCTGGAACATGACCGTCAGTGCTGCACTCGAGAGTCCGTTACCTCAAATGGGATGTAGTCCCTCTGCTGTGATCTAGCACTCGTCTCGATGAAAGCCGGGGCGTGGCTACTTCTGGTGGTGGCAGAGGTGATTTGAGGATCACAGTGAGAGCTTCTCCAAGAGGGAGCTCTCACTCCTCATGCACACCACAGCCGATGGGGCAGCTGGAGGAACAGGCTGGGCCCTGTGCAGCACAGAGCGTACCACTTGTATCCTTCGGCGCCCCTCAATGATCATATATCAATCGCTACATCGGAAGGAGAGCCCTCTCTCTCCGGGGATGACGATTCGGCTGTGTTGCCCCATTCAGGTGTGGTAGCATTGCCCAAATCACACCCAGAGATGATGGCTATGCTTTCCCGGGCTGCCGAGAGAACCGGGCTCGAGTGGAATCCTCCACTGCATCCCGAGCCCTTGAGGTTGGATGATTGGTTTGTCGGAGGGGGTTGTGCTGGTTGTCAGCGTCCCACTCTGGAACCTTTCTTCCCAGAAGTGCTTGAGTAGCTCAGTAGAACGTGGAAGGCACTTTTTACTCCCAGAAATAAATCTAGTGGGCCCTCCTCCCTCACCACCCTCGATGGTGTGGCTGCCAAGGGGTACACTGGCATTCCCTCGGTGGAGTGGTCGGTTATGATGCAATTGTGTCCAAATATCGCTTCCACCTTGAAGGGTACGGGCCTGTAAGTATTCATCAGGTTTAACTGGCAGTGCTTAAAGAGCCTGTTGGGAGGTGGCCTCGGCTCTACTTGCCATGGCCATACTGCAGGTCCACCAGGCCAAAGCACTGAATGACCTGCACGAGGGTGGTCATGACCCAACAGTTATACAGGAACCGAGGACTACTACGGACTTCATGCTACATATGATGAAAATTACCATACAGACTTTGGGCTGTGCAATTTCCCCTTTGGTGGTTCAGGAGTGCCATCTCTGGCTGTGTCTGGCTGAAATGCCGGAGCATGACAAGGTGCAGTTCCTGAATGCCCCTGTGTCGCTGACCGGCCTCTTCAGCGACGCAGTCGAGAGCTTTGCCCAGCAGTTCTTGGCTGCACAGAAGCAGACTGAGGCCATCAAACACGTCCTGCCCTGGCGGAAAGATGCTGCCTCCACCCGTCTGCCGGATGCAGCACCTCAGTCTGCCCATCGCTGAGGGAGCCCCCCTGCAGCCTTCAGCCAAGCAGTGCAGGCCGAGTGCCCAGCCCGTCCAGGCCCACGCCAAACCTGGCGACAAGCACAAGTGCAAGAGCTTGCACTTGAGACAGGTGACCCAGGGATGGAGGGGACAGCTCTTCGGGAAATGGTGACCGCACCACTCCCTCCCCTGGACGAGGGCGGGTGGAGAATCTTATGTTGAGTTTTGTTTATGTTCCGCCGCTGGCCCAGCAGCCAGCCGTACCCAAATTCTCAATGAAAGACAGGTTTCCTCAATCTTTGGGTCTCAAGGGGAGGAGAGTAGGGCAATGTGCATCACAGCACCACTCTCATCCTCCTCTTTCGCCAGCGGGCAGCAGTGGGCGGCTCAGAAGCTCTCCCTCTGCCCAACCGTGGAGCCAGGTAGGTGTTGTGACACTCAAGACACCACTTCATGCCTCCACAGGCCCCAAGCCTGAAAAGCAGTGGGTTACGGCCAATTTTGTACCTGCGAGTTTCGAACTGTGCACTTTACAAGCTGCCGTTCAATATGTTGACACAGAAATGCATTTTCGAATGCGTCCGCCCCCAAGATTGGTTTGCAGCAATCGACCTGAAAAATGCGCACTTTCATGTCTCGACTCATTTTCAGTCAACAAATCCTGCCTAGAGTTTGGGCCAGCTGACTCCAGTGCAACACTGAGAACCTGGCCCAGCTATGTGCCCAAGGTTCCTACCACTCCCTTCAGGGACCAGGTGATGAACCTGCAAGCGCTGCTCCTGGAAGAGGCAGACCCAGCCCTGGCTCTGCTCTGTCCCGTCCGTGCCCTGCGGCAGTATGTAGACAGGACTCAAAGCTTCAGGACCTCAGACCAGCTCTTTGTCTGTTACGGAGGCCAGCAGAAGGGGAAGGCTGTTTCCAAGCAGAGGATGTGGCCCGCTGGATAGTGGATGCCATCACCTTGGCCTATGGAGCACAAGGTGTGCCCTGCCCACTCAGGCTGCATGCTCACTCCACCAGAAGTGTTGCATCATCCTGGGCGATGACTCGTGGTGCCTCTACAGATATCTGTAGAGCTGCAGGCTGGGCGACTCCGAACACATTTGCTAGGTTCTATAGCCTTCGTCTCGAACCGATATCCTCCTGTGTTCTTACCTGGCACTGAGAGGCCCTGGTTCAGAGACGGCTAGCTGCGTCTTGGCGCTTATTTTTCTCCAGAGAGTTCCCTAACTGGGCAAACCCTGTCGAGTCCTCCAGCACTTTGGCAGCTGGCTTGGTGGAGCGTCCGGCGCCAGGCCTTCATCCGATTAATTCTTGAAAGCCGGTGTGAGGCTGGTGCCCATATGAACAACCCTGTTGGGATCCCATATGTGTATTCTCCACGGTACAGCTACTAAGGCTGTGTTTCCCCTGCCAGTGTCCGCTCTTCAGTCTCTGAAAAATATGCAGCCTCTGAGCCATCCCAGAGACTTCCATGTGCAATACGGCCCTACAGGGTTACTCCACATGAGAAAAATATCACTCCCACCTGTGGAGGAGGTGACTCTGCAATGTTCCTCTTCCAGTAGGAAGGGCACATTTTCCCAGTGTTATCCAAGTCCCACTGAGTGGGTTTCTCAAAGAACAGCAGTGATTGACCTTCTCTGTGTAATGCCCAGTCCTATCGTCTGCCTTATAGGAGGGATCAGGAGGCTTACACAGGGCACTGGAGGGAGCAGCATCTGTGGCATGTTGGTAGGGATTCCCAATTCGTCGGTCACCGACGTGATGTCAGAAGTGACCGACTGAAAGGGAACATCTCGGTTACATATGTAACCCTTGTTCCCTGCAGGAGGGAACAGAGACATCACGTCCTGTCTCCACAGTTGGTGTACCACCGCTGGGCGGCCAGGTCACAGGTGCTTCACACTACAGTTTTAAAAGGTGGTCAGCACTGCTTATAACCTACATGCAAAGGCAACGCTAACCCTGTTCACGATTAACAGTGCTTTTGCTTTTGTATTCCGTGTGAAATGAACATACAGCCACAGAACAGTGTTGCCAGACTGAGTTGACAATTTCCAGGCCAAAAGCTCCACAAAACATTCAATACCAAAAGAATGCGATGCCATGTCAACCAAGGTTGATGAGGACCATTAAATGAATCAATTTCCCAGCAAGGCGAACGATACAACAACAACAAAAAAATTAATCCAAGAAATACAGTAAGCTATTAACTTCACTAATGTTAGTGTGGTGGATCAGTGAATGCGAGAGAAGGGGAGAGGTAACATAGATACTGAGTATATGTGTGTCTGTGTACAGTAGAAAAGTAGAAAATCAGTCCAGTCTCCCCAGCTGTAAATATCATTGGCTGTTAAAGTCTTGTGTTGCTTATAATAAATTAGCATGTTGATATCACACAAGCAGTCTTTCAGAATGCTCTCAGTTACATGTAGATACATACTGTATGCTTTAGTGAGTGTGGTGGTGATGATGGGCTGTCGCTCTGGGACAGGTGAGAATGAGGCTGGAAGGGAAAAATCACAGTATTTTCATTACAAAAAACTAGACTACACCACTGATCATATCTGCACCAGTTTAAACCCATTCAGCTGATTTGTAGACCAGTCGTGAATCCTCACTTTGACAGGGGTTGAATCCAGAAAAGCATATTAGCATACTACTCTTACTATATCTACCATATGTACAATTGTTACATTTACAATTAGTAATTTACATACTACTTGATCTAACATTATTTATTTATTTATTTATTTATTTACAGTGTTGGGGAGTAGCTAGCTACAAGTAGGAATGCTACTAGCGTAACTACATTTTTCAGTAGCTTTACAGTAGTGACGCTACTTTTAAAACAGTGTAGCTTTTTCCATAGCTAACTAGTTTTTCCAGCAAGTAGCAATGTAGCGCGACCAAACGCTACATTCCGTTTTGCATTCTGACGAGTCACAAGCCTGTAATACATTGAAGCAGCTCAGCGTCTTCTGCTGATTAGATCACAAACAATATTTTATCATTACCACCATCTGTTGTGATATCACGCATCGCATGGCTCAACAGTCTGTCCACCGACAAGAGATCGTCTGATGATATTGCAAAGGATGTACAGGAGTGGATATTTTACATGAATCAACTGTTATTTACGCAAAACAAAGATTAAAATGCGGTCTACGTCAAAGACTTAAAGCCAGTGGCAGACTGGCCATCTGGAGCACCGGGAGTTTTCCCAGTGGGCCGTTGTACAATGTGGGCCGGCCCATTGCGTAAATCTATGTATAGAATGAATTATAATAAATGTATGTCCATCGGCCCAGACGAATGACCCACTTGAGTCAAACATTCTATTTAATTTAGTGTGCTCCGGCTCAGTGCAGCGGCTCAAAAGCACTCATCAATGTCAAAATATTTGAAATAGCCAATCAAATTGAAGAAGGCAGGATTTACTGTTCACAGAAGCTGTTAGCGGCGTGCCACTTGAATGCTAGCTGAGGTAAGAAGTAAGCAGCTGAATGGCAAGACAATTCAGCAATATTTGCCTACTGTAGGGTGACCATACGTCCTCTTTTCCTCTGACCTCTTTTTGGACCTAAAAACATGCAATCGGCCGGGATTTCTTAATTGCCCAAAATGTCCGGGATTTGCCTGTTTTCTTAATTTCATATACACCAGGAAAGATGAATTATAATGTAAAGAAGTATGCCAGTCATTCATTAATGTTAATGAAATAAGAATGTTTAATAAAAAAAAATAGATGACATTTTTATTTCTGTATTGTGTTATATTTCTATGTTAGAAAGTGGTGTTAAAAATGCTCTGGCATAATTAGCATAATTTGGTGTAGAAAGCCGCTCTGTGCCAGAAAGTCCAGGGCCACTTTTTAACCCCAGTTCGTCCCTGCTTAAAGCACATTCAGGAGGTGAATAATAGCCTTTTAAGACTGATTAAGTTTTCTTCTTTATTGCACTCTAGATCAAATGTATATTATATGATGATTAATGGTCATAATATAATCTGTCCCCCCACAGTTTTGTATTGAACACTAATCGAACAGAAAATAAAATAGTGATATAGTAGTGTGCTTCTAATTTGGCAAAGAATGGTTGCTGCGGGATTCACGCAAAGCGCAGTGTTCACTCGTGCAGCTGATGATTGACGTCTCCATTCACAGTCAGTAAATACCGCATGAGCTGTGAGTTTAACCAGCTTATTTTATGACTCCTCCGTATCCAGTTTAAGTTGCATTGATGTTACGTTAGTAGCAATTCTGCACTTTGACAGTCAGTTTAAGATAATAGCCTATAACTATACAGTAGCCTATTTTATTATTGTGTGTATAGGATAGTTTACAAAATCAAATGATTGGGACACTTTTTGTCATTGAAATGGCTTGGAAAAGTGTCCCAATCAACCTGAATTCACCATACTCTTTGAAATCATGATAGCATTACAGTATGTTGTTTTAAACCCCAAATATTTTACTTATAACTTCATTATCTCATGAACACTTAACAATAACTGTGGAACACACACTATTTATTCACTCATACACTTATTTATCTAACACTCATACTCAGCCTACACCTCAAATTTGCACATAATATACCTGTACATACAAAACTGTCTATTGTAATATACCTGCACATACAATTGTCAATTTATATATTGTTATTCCTTATTTACTTGTTCTATTTTTTTTTATTATTCTTTTATTATCTGTGTTTTTGTTCTGTCACTGTCATTCTGTTACACTGTGGAAGCTTCTGTCATGAAAACAAATTCCTCGTATGTGTAAACATACCTGGCAATAAAACTCATTCTGATTCTGATTCTGATTATATTTGACTTATGACTTCATTATATTTCTTCATTAATAATTATTTAGGTTCTTAATTATTAATAGTTGGATCTTTGTTGTAAACAGTTTTTTGCCACTTAATATATTTTTGTGGAAACTGTGATACATTTTATTTTTCAGGATTCACAGATGAATTGAAAGTTCAAAAGATCAGCATTTATTTGAAATATAAATCTTTTCTAACATTATAAATGTTACTTTTGATCAATGTAATGCATCCCTGCTGAATACAAGTTTTATTTATAAAAAATAAAAAACTTTTGACCAGTACTGTATTTCTGATGTCAGCATCATTTGATATATTTTTGTAGAAGTAAATTGTAAGAAACTACACAACTAATATGCACAATAAAAATCACCTGGAACGGTATGAATGCCTGTAAGATATATCATAAGGGAAAAGATTAATTTTGAGATCTTGTAATGGCAGAGAGATTTGCTTACCCGTTTGACAGCTCAGGTGACTAACAGTCAAGTGAATGACAGAAAGTGTGTGTGTGTGTGTGTGTGTGTGAAAGAGAGAGTTCTGGGTGGAGCTAACTATATGATAAAGCAGCTGCCGCCCAAATTCAGACCATTCTGATGCCCTTAACACACAAACACACACAGGTTTGTTTTTGTGAAAAGTGGGGACTCTCCATAGGCGTAATGGTTTTTATACTGTACAAATTTAAAAAGTGTTCACCCAAAAATGATCTCATGTCGTTCCAAACCAGTAAGACCTTCATTCATCTTCGGAACACAAATGCAGATATTTGTGATGAAATCTGCGAATGCTTGTAAACAAGGCACAGTGCACACAGTGTTCTCCGTCAGAACGCCGGCTCCTGCGTCAGCAGCATCACACGCATGCGTCGTGGTACTCTCGTGAACGATGTCCTTTCTTTCTTTCTGGGTCTTGAACGTGGTAGTTGTGTTGCTGTCTATGCAGAAAGCTCTTGGATTTCATCAGAAATATCTTAAATTGTGTTCCGAAAATGAACAAAGGCCTTATAGGTTTGGAACGACATGAGGGTGAGTAATTAATGACAGAATTTTCATTTTTAAGTGAACTAACCCTTTAAGTATTTTTTCTCTTCTTTCTCTGTTCTTTTATTATACATTCCCTTTCCTTTTTTCCTTAAAAGTTTTTTTCTTCTTTTTCACTTTCTTTATTCCTTTCTGTTATATTGTTTCTGTGTCCTGATTTTTTTCTTGCCAGGTCTCAAGAATTGTCTGCATTACACTAAATAACCAGAATATAACAGACAAAATTACTTACAAAACATGTCTTGTAAAATCAGTAAGGTCCTTTTCAAGGAAGAGTGGAAGGCCGTGGAGAACTGCTGTTCATCGCCCATTGATGTCAGATGTCTGTACAATTATTAAAAAACTAATATTTAATATCACTCAAAGCACAAGTGTAACCGGCCTGTTGTATAACCGCTGTTACCATCATCTGCGTTGTGTGTAAGAAGACCGCATTCAGCATAACATATAATGAATATCTACCTATTCTGTGCAGGGTTTCACAAAACTGCAAAGTATGATTTTTCATTAAGCACACCTATGTGAATAAGCATATACTATGTGGAAACATAGAATTGGAGAATTTTCATATTCCATAGCTTCCATATTTTAATAAGTTTTTCAGCAGTTGAGCTCTCTTTTCACTCAATAAACAAGTAGAACTTCCACTTCCACTGCATCAGGGTTTCTAATTAGAATATTATAATGTGTAACCATTAAAAGAGCTTTGCAAGATTTAGACAGAAATGTGATTTGCTGATTGATAGTTTGATATATGTGATTATTGTGAGGAATGTGATAGGTATTGTATGAACAAATATTCCCATAAATGTCAATTAACAGGAAGGGAGAATTTTTTTTTCTCAGAAACATGAACATCTTCATCGAGTTTTGCAGATGAAGTTCAGATGTTCAGATGAGGATTCTGTTAGTTCATTCGGCATTACCTGCATTGATTGAATCATGTGGCTGATTCTGATCTGTCTAAACAGATTGATTGTGCCTGTCAATCATCTTCACAGGGCTGAACCAACTGTGTGTTTGTGTTTGTGTTTGTGTTGTCTGGAACATTCTGGTTATTAAAGTCAGAATGTTGTTAGTGAACACACAACTGCTGTCAGTTAAAGTGTTTTTTACTCTTAGATACACGTTAGTGTAATGCAATTACAATGTAATGTAGTCTGGTTCTTCCAGTTCTAACATCCTAAGGAGGTTTTATATTATAAATATTTTTATATTCTATTTCCTTGCTGGCTCTGTACAGTAATTCTGTACTGGTTTCTGTAAAGCTGCTTGAGAATAACATGTTAAAACGCTGCGCTAATAACGCTGACTCATCTTTTGACAGCTTACGAAACCATTTAAAAAAAAGAAAGAAATTGTAAAGTGCGTTCAAATCACTTTGTTTGAATATTATTCTAATGAACCCGCAGAAGCTCTCTTCTAACATCGACAGGACGAATGATTTGCATACATTGTTTATGTCTCTAAAGTTTTAGGTCTCCATATGTAAAGCATTTATCTTCATCATTACACTGAAAAATGTGGTGTAGTTCTTCCCAAACAATTACTAAGAAATATCAGGCAACACACTGAACTGAATGTGAAACTCTGAATGCTCCGGTAATCCCTGTTTTAGTTACAGTTTATCATTTTTTACAGTGTAGGGTGTGTTGTTTTATTATGATGTGCTATTTTTTGCATTGTGTTTATGGCTGATCTAATCAAATAAGGTGTCTGTTGTGTGCTGGTGTTGTTCTGTCATGCGTCTCATGTAAAGAAAGAGAAGGTTGTGATCTTCATGAGCTCAGAAAGCTGTGTGTCCTGCGTTCAGCAGAATAGCTGTTTATGTCTCTAAAGTTTTAGGTCTCCATATGTAAAGCATTTATCTTCATCATTACACTGAAAAATGTGGTGTAGTTCTTCCCAAACAATTACTATTACAAGATATATCAGGCAACACACTGAACTGAATGTGAAACTCTGAATGCTCCGGTAATCCCTGTTTTAGTTACAGTTTATCATTTTTTACAGTGTAGGGTGTGTTGTTTTATTATGATGTGCTATTTTTTGCATTGTGTTTATGGCTGATCTAATCAAATAAGGTGTCTGTTGTGTGCTGGTGTTGTTCTGTCATGCGTCTCATGTAAAGAAAGAGAAGGTTGTGATCTTCATGAGCTCAGAAAGCTGTGTGTCCTGCGTTCAGCAGAATAGCACCATCTGCCCTCTGCTCAAAGACTCCAGGCTAAACAGCAGACCCTTTATGAGCAGTCGCTTGCTGACCTCCATTCACTTTCTTAAAGGGACCGTTCAAAAGAAGATATTTTGAGAAATTATTATTATTGCGTAAACTTTCCCTTTGTAGACATCAGCTCTTTGTTGAATGTCTTTTAGTAGATAATGTGCACTACTAAATAAATCTAAATATCCAATAAATAAATATCCAAGGCAACTTCAATTTGTGTTCTCATAGCTATTGTCTTAATAACTGTATTGTAAAAGTAACACTCATTTGTTTGTCAACATTCAGCCAATAAACTCATCAAGACTTGCATGCACAAATATGTACAAATCCTTATGAATGTTGAAGTCATTGCATTAGCATTTTGATTATTGTCACCAACTGGTTGCAAATTAAGTTAAAACAGGATCTAGCGGCAGCAGTTTTCAAAACATATTAAACAAAACCCGAAGGCCGGGACACACTGAACACAGAACAAAACAACCTCGCAGAAAACATCAGTAAAGGACGACTGAACTGAAGTGAACACGGGGCTTAAACACACTAAGAGCTAATCAGGGAGAACAGAAACAGCTGTGAACCAGTCGAAGGATCACGTATCGTTAAAGAAAACGACACTTTAAAACCTTAAAATGACTAACAATTCCGCAACCGTGGCGTTTTCTTAGCAATGCTATGAATGACAGTAGAACCCCCAAATACACCAAAAAACTCAAATTCAGCGCACCATAATCCTGACGGATCGGGATAAGCTTTTTAGCGAACATCTGCTCTGTTCCTCACACAAGACTGCAGTCATGCTTTTCTTCATACTGTACTTATTTTTGAGAAATGACTGTGGTTAGGTTTAGAGACAGGCCTGAGACTGTAATGAAATCTGTAATAAAATTTATGTTTCGGTGCTTCAATACGTCCAGATCGAATATTTCAGCATTAAACCAAACATAGAAAAATGCAGGTAGAAAACGTTCTAAACCAGTCCCCACATATCAACAGTGAGCCCAGGCTGGAAATACTTTGAGACGACTAGTTGGGGCAACTTTTGGGTGAATTCAGTTGGTCTGACATGGGCTTTTGTGCTGTTTTAAGAAAACTGCATTTCTTAATATTTAGGACTCAAAAGGTTTCATAAACTGTGTGTTTTTTATTTTTTCTAACAGTGTGTTTAATTGCATGCTTTATATATTTTATGATGTCGATTTTTGCTGCTATAACAATTTCACAAGCCTCTGTCAAAACATATTCAAGTTTTATTATTATTATTATTTTATATTTACTATGTGTGTATGATCATAATTAGTTTTTGGTTCTTGATGCACTGTGAAACGAGGAACATTTCATCACATCACATGAATGTAATACATATGTGACAAATAAAGAACCTTGCACCTTGACGTTGGAGTGAAAGTTCTTTTTTGAGTTAATAATAATAATGATGATGATGATGATGATAATAATAAAAATAATGGAATTCATGAGTTGTTATCTTTATATAGTACCTAACATGTGTTATTGGCCTGGAATTGACATCTAAAACAAAACATCACTGTTGTGTGTGTTTGTGTTTGTGTGTGTGTGTGTGTTTTGGTTGGGTTTCTCCAGGAACGTCGATCTTCTGGTCTTTGTGATGTTAATAGCTGTTTGAGAGCTGAATCACACAAATGAAAGGACTGAATTACCCAACAAAGCAAATGCTAACACATCCACACCCAGAATTTTTGGAGCGTCTCCAGGACTTTTAGGTGGAGCCTTAATGTTTTACCAGAAATATTTTCACCTTCCAGAAGAGGAAAGCTGACATCATGATCTGTGCCGTGACACAGAAATCACCCCATCTCTCTCACACTCACACTCACACACACACACACGCACACACACACACACACACACACACACACACACACACACTCACACACACACACACACACACACACACACACACACACACACACACACACTCTCTCTCTCTCTCTCTCTCACACACACACACACACACACACACACACTCACTCTCTCTCTCTCTCTCTCTCTCTCTCTCACACACACACACACACACACACACACACACACACACACACACACACACACACATGCATGTTTTACTAATGTAATTGACAAGCCAGATGAATAACAGTGAAATAACACTGAATAACAGTGAAATTTACTAAATTAAAGTATTTATTTCACTGCAGTATAACTGAAAGTTTGTAAATGTTATTATATATATTATATAATTTTATATAGAAATATAAATAT